AGAATGAGGGAGAGAGAGAGAGAGAGAGAGAGAGAGAGAGAGAGAGAGAGTAAGAGAAGGCGTTGGCATAGGCTGTTGCGGGGCCACACACAAATACGGTTAACATTCGGCCCCGTTTAGTCAGCTCTTTTTTTCGATTTGCTTGGGCAGAAATGCAGAATAAGAGAAATAACTATGTTTATTGTGTGGCAAAGTGGCAGCAAACACTGAGGTGCTATAAAGTTACACAGCAGAGCTGGCTGCCGGCTGGTTGTCTGACCAAATGACTGTCAGATTGAATCACACCCGCACACCCACACACACACACATGCAAATCACATAGAATGCGCACGTGCTGCTATTTCCAAATGGTTTTCACTTTCGCTTAAGCACTTGGTAAATTACTGTTTTCCGCTTTGGCTTGACTTAAATTGAAAACGCTTTGACTGGCGAAATGTTTGTTTGATGTGAGTTTCAGTGTTTCAGTGTTTGCCAAATGTTTTTCTAATGCCAGTCCACTAATAATACTCATTTACGATTTATGCACACATCAAGCAACATATCCGTCCAGTCCAATATTATCTGCAACATTTTAGCAAGAGGCGATGTCCGGACTGCTGTAAGCTGATATTGTATGACGAGTAAAATATATTTAAGTTGTCGTCTGAGTTGTTTACTTTGCTCGGCTATTGTATAGCACTGTGTGCTCTCTGGCTTTTCGTAGACTATCTGTTTCATGCCCAAAAAATACTGTGTAAATATTTGCGCATTGCGCTCACGTTGTTATTTCCTAGGAAATTATTATAAAGGCACTCAATGTCATTAAGGTCTTACCTTAAATGGGCCATAATTATGTTCTTATACGCAATTTCAAACAAAAATGGTTTAAGTGTTTAAGGATTCATGTGCAGCCTCACCTTTTATTTACTATTTAACATGCATTTTGAGTGGCTATAAATCTATTAAGGATCTTCATTCTCTTTGCATGTATGTATGTATGACTATATGATAGTATAACTGTATTTTTAAATTGTAAAAAATTGTATAAAGAAATGCAAATATTTATTGTTTGGGTTTAGATTTTTATGCAGTATACTAGGATCACTAATATTTATGCTTTTATATTGTAGATCTTCTCTCTAATTAAGTCAAAAATTGTTTTATCTAGCATTTATATAATTAAATTCTTAAAAAAAAATCAGAAAAATTTAAGATCATTCCACACAAACGCTAACCTGCATTGGACTAGTTGGCTTATTAAGTTTTCACCCTTATTTTGTCGAGCTCCTTTTAAATAATTGAGGAACATTTAAGTGAATGTCCATTTGGGCGGCTCATTTATTAACATGGCAAA